TTGAATCATTTCAATGCTATGATCAACATCAAAAATCGACACGCCACTTAGAAGTCATCCATAAAGGGTTGAGTTACAAGCTCCAAACAGAACTCGAAAGAGAGTACTTGCTGTCTTTTATAAATAATACTTTGTCACAAGAAGCAGGATCATTTCTTTGGCGCTAGAACCATTACTTTGGCTCTACAATTATTCAGACATGTTATTAATAACAAACAATTGAAATTGATTAAAAGATTTAGCGGAACATATCAGTCCGATCAAGTCATTCAATGGTACACGGGGCACCCCTTTATCTATAAACAAGTTAATCTTGCAGAATATCAAGAGATTAAAGAGTATGAAACTGCGCTAACACTTTGTCGTGGGGTAAGAATGTCAACTGAAGAAGTTAAAAAATTAAAAGAAAATATTGATAACCTAATATCTGCAAATGGGTTTTTATCTACTAGTCTATCGAAAGATGTTGCATTGAGGTTTGCTGGTGCTGAATCAGACAAGGAACAAAGTGTTTTATTTGAAATTGGTTGTAATTTAGCAACAAATAATTTGTAATGTTGGCTCCGACAGTAGGCTACAAGCCAGCATCCAGACGAAAAAGAAATTTTGTTTGATTTGGATGATGTATTTGAAATCGTATCTGCTCTCTACGATGAGCCGTTCAAAGTCTTAGTAGTCAAAGTGAAAGTGTCAGATGAACGACGAAGAAGTGCCCAAGAATATATAGAAATGACAACAAGACATTGAAAAACTATCAACAGTCATTTAATATGCTGTTAAGCGCCATACCTCCACGTGTAGCGCCTTCAGCTTGTGTGTTGAATGATATGGCTGTGATTTTTAGTAACAGAGGCCAATATGACAGGGCTTTGGAGTGTCACAAGAATACTATGACGATCGTGGTACAGCCGCTTCATTGGAAAATATAGGCTTCATTTATCGTAAAAAAGGTGAATATGATTGTTCATTACAATATCATAAGGAATGTCTTGCCTTAATCATAAGAAAACAACGGTTTCCAGCTGAACATAAGAACATAGTACACTGTTTACTGAATATTGGCGATATTTCTAAGGATAAAGATGAACTTAATATTGCATTAGATTACCAAAAACAAACATTGAAAATAAATGAACAATGTCTTCCAGCTGGCCATGATCATATTGCTTCGTGTTTGACCCATATTGGGCTTGTTCTTAGTTACTAAGGAAACTACGATGAAGCACAGGATTATTATATGCGAGCTGTTGAAATACGTGAGAAGGCCTTTTCTAATGGTCACCCAGACATGGCAGATAATCTATCTAATATTGATGCTATTTTCTATCCGAAAAACAATCATACTCTTGCTCTTAAATATTTTAAAAGGGTTTTACAAATGAAAAACGCATTTCATCGCTTGGACAATGATAGAACGGTTGGTATATTCATGTATATCGGCATGCTATTGACTAAACAAGCTAAATATAATCAGGCCGTGTCATACTACATGAAAGCCGTTGGAATCAAAGAAAAAATCCTTCCCGTTGGACATGCTACTCTTATTGATTGTCTCACTAACACTGGCATCGCATATCGAGACAAAGGTAATTTTACGGTTGCTTTTGATTATTTTGAAAAAGTTAAGAAAAATGCAGAACCAGCCAATGGTCGCTCACCGAATTATATTCAGATAGCTCGTCTTACTGACAATATGGGCATTTCACTTAATCGTTAAGGTAAAGGGAACGAGGGTTTAAAGTATCGTTTGGAAGCTGTTGAATAATTGACAAAGCGTTTTCACGTGCTCATTATGCTGATTAGGTGGATAGTATTGGAAATATTTTTTCTGCATTGCTCTACTGTACTTGTTCGAAGATGGTGAAAATCATGGAAATCCGTCATATTGAAATGCGTTTTTCACCATCAAATCGAACTCCAAACTCAATATAAATCCTGTAAAACATGATGGTATAACAAATACAAATATCACTCTCATTTGCATAAAAAAATACTCATATGATATGATAGTCTAGAATCAACTTTTAAGGCGCCGAAAAATTAAAACTAAATAATGAACGGTTTCTGATCATTTGGTTTTGGTTATTTTTAGAGTGTCTGAAAAACTGATTTTCGAAAAAACTGTATCTTCAAAAGTCATGGGAGAAAATCCTTTTAGCTCTTTACTAACCGGTACCGTCTATCGATTGACGTATGAAAGAACGAAATCGGAAGGTGTCGCTTTCATAGGTTACCTCGCAAGCATTCACCGCCATAAAACTAGAGAATCGGGATCCGAACGATAAAAGTTCGTTTTAGACTTTTGTTGAGTGTCACCGTCGGTTCTATGGTGTAGCGGTATCACTCTGGACTTTGAATCCAGCAACCCCAGTTCAAATCTGGGTAGAACCTGATTCTTTTTTCTTTTGTCGTACACCCTTGCAGGTCAAGGCAACTTTCTTGTGCTGCACTTTTTCATTCCTTCACGTGCGATTCTATTATTTCTTTATATGAAACCGAAAGGTGAAAAAACGAAAGTGAGTTTTTCGAAAATTCATACTACTACATACATTAACCAATCCCCGATTTATTGGTGAAAACATGTTGATCCAAGTGTTGAATACGGTTGAGAAAAGTAAGTCGGAATTTTCGGCGGGTTTTGTCAGGCTTTTCGAAAAGCCGTTGTTTTGGCCAGCTAAAACAAATTTCAAGAAACTGAAACAGCTTACCACCTATCAGCTTACCACCTATCGATTCAAAAAAAAAATGCCGTTTTCTTCCAGAAACCGTCCCGTGTCCTTCCTTCATTTCTTATTTCTGTAGCCTTGAACTGATAGTGAACATTTAGGGCTTTTTTTATAAATTCTATAACTTTGTCAAGAAAGATCGTGTACAGCTGGCAGATGTCTCATTTAATCCGAAATTTGCGTGCCACAATTATGCCTCATTAAGACAGGTTCTGGTTATTTTTAGAGTGTCGAAAAAACTGATTTTCGGAAAAACTGTATCTTGAAAAGTCATGGGAGAAAATCCTTTTAGCTCTTTACTAACCGGTACCGTCTATCGATTGACGTATGAAAGAACGAAATCGGAAGGTGTCGCTTTCATAGGTTACCTCGCAAGCATTCACCGCCATAAAACTAGAGAATCGGGATCCGAACGATAAAAGTTCGTTTTAGACTTTTGTTGAGTGTCACCGTCGGTTCTATGGTGTAGCGGTATCACTCTGGACTTTGAATCCAGCAACCCCAGTTCAAATCTGGGTAGAACCTGATTCTTTTTTCTTTTGTCGTACACCCTTGCAGGTCAAGGCAACTTTCTTGTGCTGCACTTTTTCATTCCTTCACGTGCGATTCTATTATTTCTTTATATGAAACCGAAAGGTGAGAAAACGAAAGTGAGTTTAGAAGGACTACCGCAGAAAACTTTCACTCTGCATGTAGAAATATGCTGCAGAAGTGGAAGATACGTCTTTAAACACACTTTTTATAGGTTTCCGAATATGCTCTTTCCAATGATGAGATTTTCGAAGTCCTAAACTACTTTTTGTGGGTTTTCCGATGGCCGGATCTCTAAAAAACTCTAAAAAAATGTTTGCTCGGTCAACTAAATGATCTGAGTATTCGATCCAATAAAACTAGAGGATCGGGATCCGAACGGTAAAAGTTCGTTTTAGGCTTTTGTTGGATGTCACCGTCGGTTCTAAAATTTCTGATTAAAATGAGACATCTCTCAGCTCTACATGACCTTTCTTTCCAAAGTTATACAATTTACAACAAAAGCCCGAAATTAATTTCTTCTTATTTCTGTAGCTTTGAGCTGACAATGAACATTTAGGGCTTTTCTTGTGAATTTTATAACTTTGCGAAGAAAAGTCGTTTATAGCTGCGAGATATTTCATTTTAATCAGAAATTTGCGGGTACAATCATGTCTCGTTAAGAAAGGTTTTTGTTATTTTTCAGAGTTTCTGAAAAACTGGGTCTTCAAAAATCATACGGGAATATCCTTTTAGCTTTTTACTAGCCCAGTACCCTCTATCGATTGACGTATGAACCACTGAAGTCAGAATGTATCATTTGGATAGGTTTCTTCGTATGCATTTAACGCCATAAAACTAGAATCGGGATCCGAAAGGTAAAAGTTCGTTTTAGGCTTTTGTTGAGTCTCACCGTCGGTTCTATGGTGTAGCGGTAGCACTCTGGACTTTGAATCCAGCAACCCCAGTTCAAATCTGGGTAGAACCTCATTCTTTTTTTCTTCTGTCCTACACCCGTGCACGTCAACGCATATTTTCATGCGCTGCACTTTTTCATTCCTTCACGTGCGATTCTATTATTTACAGTATGCGAAACCTATTTTTCTTTAAAGTAATGCGTAATTTGATATATATATATATATACAATTGTGATTCAAGGCAAGTATTGAGTATCTTACAGTTTCAAACAATATTAAGACGATAAATTCATTTTTCTTTTGCGGTCTAAGTGGAAATATCGTGTAAAAATGTCTACTAACCTTCTTTATAGTTAATCGAATAGCTGGTCACTTTGACACATGAACTTTATTAGAAAAAATATTTGAAAAATGCACTGTTGTAATATAAGATCTCGAACGGCTTCTTGTCATATGGTGACATACTCATGTCGCTGATGTTCTTGACTTTTCTTCATCTTCAAATACTTGAGTAGCGTCTGTTTATACGTCTCAAATTGTGCAACGATTTTTCGTGTACACTCTCGAAAATCTTCTTCTAAAAATGTTTGACATAACGATAGTTTTTCGATACTAAACGATTGAATACGCCGGTGAAATAAATTATCTTGAACGTCTAATAACGATGGCGCAGTCATGGCAGTGTCGTGACATAGATGACAAGATATTGATGTCATAAGGTTCACGGGAATAGCTTCCACATTTTTTCGTTCACCGTAAAGCCAACCATTGAATGTGTCGGTGTGTTCATGACGCATCCATCGAGCAGTCGTCAGCGTTTGTAATGGAGAAAAATGATAGGGTTCATAATGCATGGATCGTATTTTATTCGTAGATAGTGAGTGTTGAAGTCGGGTGCACGAGACGGGCGACGGCTGAGGTTGACAGTGTACAGTTTGAGATTTAACTGGGCTCATTATTCGACAAGTTGATTTAATGTAGTGAACATCAACAGGATAGATGTATGGATTCATGTATGAACATTGAATATGTCTAGCTTACAAGTTCATTTCTACTTTATATATGTCTGCTTCAGAGTCAGACTATGTAAGTTGTGTGTAAAGGAATGCATGTTATTTTTATTTCTATCCGCTTAACACTCTGATGTGATGTAATTTTGATTTGAAAAGAGAGAAGAAAATATTTGTGGAATGTCTACATACGTATGGTCGATCTAACGAACGATCAGTAATAGAATAGAAACAGATTTATTCTCATGTGACATGTGAAGAAGTCGTTTATATTGACTATATTTGAAACTGCTGCTGTGATTATGCTTTTCTTTCTACTGTTTTGTTAATTATAATATCATAAAATGTTGAAGAGCAGCTTTGTAGAATGGATCTCTTTAGATGGTCTAATTCATTTAGTTCCGACAGAAAGAAGTGTAAATGCTACATTGAATACACAAGTAGTTTGTATTCGAAAAATCAGTTTAGTGAACCTTAATGGTTTCCGAGTTTCTTGTCTCTTGTTTGGATTGAATTATGGCATGAATACACTATTTAATTCAAGTTCGACTTAATATTATGGTCAGTAAGTGACAAATGAAAACTTCGTGCGTGTAGAATGAGCAAGTAATCTTCTACATAGCTGCTACATGAAATTAAGAAAATAACCTTGGAAAATGAAAACGTTGAATTAGGATTGCTAAGTTAAGTCAGTGTGTAGACACTTCAGTCAAGCTAAGCTTCCATTAAAATTTTTTGTTTAAGCGCCAGTATCAGTGTGATTTACGTTGACATTTAAGTTTAATGTAAGCTTATCTTGTTCGGACACTTGTTCTTCTTAAATTAGATCTGAATGTAAAAGAGTGTATTGTAAATAAGGCCATAGATTCATAACGTAAACGCAGAACATTTTAATTTGATTTTTGAAGAAATTCTCAGTTATATAATAACGAATCACTTGCACTTTATTTCAGATAAAATAAAATTCATTTGAGCCATCTGTTATATCATTTTAGTGCTAATTGTATTTGGTCACTATGAATAGAATGTAGTATTCCCACTATCCGATAAAAAAACTAATTTATTACGCCCGAAAAAAGTTATTTCTGTTTCTTAATTTTGTATCGTCATTCACTCTCGTTTAGACGAGAGAGTGTCATAGTTTATTTAGAATAAATGTTTCAATGTTAATGTTTCTTCTACCGCACTTAGTAGTAATTTATCTTGACAGTGAAACAAAGTGGTTGATTGACCAAGTATATATGACTAATGTGTAAATCTCAGCATGTTTCAAATAAGACGACATCCATGATGTAAGGTGTTGCTTTTTTCTCCAATAACAACATATCTGTGTATCATTTATTTTTTGTTTTGTTTATTATTGCGTTATCTTGAGTCCTGACGATTACAAAGAGAAAAAGAAGAAGAAAAAGAAAAATGCAGAATAAAGTAACAGATATTATTGCTTATATACTAATAATAATAGTAAACAACAACAAAGATGCTATATAAGATTAGTAGAGTGTGTATATAGGATTTTTAATGTTAACAAATTGAGAGGAAGTAATAACACGTTAATTGAATATATATATATATATAGTAGTAAAAAATGCACCTGTTGTTTTTTCTATAATGGGATTATGATTAGTTATTTCATCATAACATAGATTACTAATTTTGTATTTAATGTCGATAATTCTTCGAAACGAAACTTTGTCAAATAATCATAAGAATTATTTCTACATTTATTTGATTGAAGTAGACGTTATTTTTCTAATGATAGATTTCTTTTTTGTAACATATTATCTGGAAATTCTTCATATATTTTGTTAACGATTGTATGTTATGACAAAGTCAATAGTATGAAAAATGTCACAAAAATTGTTGATTGCATCTTTTTACATGGAAGTTGGAACAATAACTAGTTTTAACTGACTTTTTTCTTGATGTTTTTCTATATAGAACAGAAGTCTTCTATATGATTGTCTATCCCGTTATACAATTTTTATCGACTATTATCATCAACAGGAGGAGAGGAAAAAAAGAAAGGAAATAAATTTGATTGAATTTTTAGTTAAATAAGAATGATATTCATTTCATTGCTTTTTTTTCTTCTGTTCTATGTAATCAGTTATATGACATAAAAAATAAAGTAAATCTTTTTTTTCTCTTTAACTAGAGCACATAGATACACACGTGCAAGATACTGTGCATATGTTTGGTTTGTGGACAAAAAATGGTTTCCTCGTTTTTTATTTCTTCTTTTTTCATTTTCTCTCTATGAAGATATGTTTTTCTAACTGAAGACCTTGTTTGCGGTTTTTTTTTCTCTTCTTCAGAAACATTGTTCTTATACGACATTTGTGTTTTCTTCTTTCTTATCTATTTTCTTCATACTATTATAATTATCTCTGTTTTACACAATAATATTTGTGGCTCTTTTGTTTTAATATGCGGTAAAAACATGTAGTTAATCGAATATATCTATTAAATGATAAATAAATAATTCATATTGAAAATGTCTTTCAATATCTTATAATGATAAAAGGAAGGCTCTATATTGAACTTATCTTTCATCCGTTCATTTTCTTTCGTTCGTTCGTTCGTGCGTTCGTTCATTCAATCACTATTATAATTGCTATAGATTGGCTCTTATGTTGATTTTTGTCCACTTTCTCTTTGTTAAGTAAAATAATTGTAGTGATATTCATGGTGTAGAGCTGAGTGTATTGCATCAAAGGTGACAATTGAATTCTTTTTTTTTATTCTTCTTCTTAACGAATAATGGAGTACTTTCAACGGCACACGATTGAAGTATATACCTACAAAAGTACATACTTCTATTATTTCAATGTATATATGACACATTACATTAAATTTTGTAGGTAAGAGATGTATCATTTCTAAAGAAAAGGATATTCTATTTATTTCCATGCTTCTAACTAGTTAATCTTTCCAACACAAAATAACTTTGAACGAATCAAATAGGAACAAACTTGACTAAGACAGACATAGGACAGTATGTGGCTGTATTCTATTAAATTGAAATTAGAAATTAACACATTTCTTTTTGTTGAAAAACATTATTTTTTTGTTCTCAAAAAATATATCTTTTGCTTTGCTGCTAAATTATTTTTAATAGTCAGCTGATATTTATAGTCATTCTTTATCATTCACACAGTATGTGTGAATCGATTAACAGCTGTTTTTCTCGATCAACCATAAGTCAAATGTTTGCATTTTTTTCATCGAACTGAGTGAGAGAAAAAAAAGTTAAAAATGGAGTTTAGTTCATTTCATAAAATAACATCTAGATAAACTTTTTTTTTATTATTATTAAAAAAAAGAAGACAATCAACATCAGACATTTTTTTTTCATTAATTTTTAATAATTTTTAAAGTATAAATACGTTTCGTGCTTAAGATTTCTGTGTCTTGAGACAATAACGTAGACACGTCAAACAATACTTAACTTTAAATATTGATGGTAAGTAAAACTATCAGATAGAGTTGATTATTCTATATATGTCAGTATATTATTGTTCCCATTGGAATAATTAAATTTGAATATAAATTCTGTTGAGAATCTAGAAAAATTGACACATGGACACTTTTTTGTCGTTTTGTGACCGCTTCTGATGTCAAGTGTTCTTTTGTTTTCGTCAGTAAAGTGTGTTTTTTAAGTACTCTTTTCTTTTTTCTCCTTCTTATCATTTATATTAGCGTGATATAAAGTATATATTAAATCTCAGTAGAATTGGACCTATTATTATTAATGTGCGTGTTTAAAAATATAATTATTACGTCTTATATGATCTTGTATTAGGAAAGTTGAACTCCCCCTCCACCTGCCAAAAAGTTCTCTTAATCTTAACGAAACTCTCATAGAATGTTCCCCATTTCCGGGTACACTAATAAAAAATGTTTAAAGTTCTTCATCTAGTTTTTTTCTCGAGATATTATCCGAGTAAGGATTGAAATGGATCTGTTCTTAATTACAAAATCATTTTGTCAAGATTAGTGTTGGAGAATTTGAATTTTTTTTTTGTATGCACATACATCTACGGACTAAAAGAGTCAATTTTTTCTAGTGGTTACTTTATCTATTTTGACATTCAAAGTCGAAAAACTTCGATTCAAGTTTTCTATAAATTCAAGTTCTTTTTGAAAATGACCGTGATATTTATAAATCGGATCTCTCTAACTTTTTTTCGTATAGATGACCTTCGAATCGTGAAAGATTCAAGACTTCCTGATGCTGTTATGGAGAATGTTTGTACGTACTAAATGCTGCAAGCTGAAAAGTTGTGAAAATTACACCATTTTTTCTCAGCATTCGATCTCACTCACAAGGGAAAATCACGTTCTTTCTCTTTTTTTTTATTCGATGCTTCATAATGGGTTAGGTGGTGATGTATCAACCAAACGCACTCGTATAGTGTAGTTCTTTTAGGTTTCTACTAAAAATGTTATTATGCAGTTCACGGTCACTCGATTGCTACGACTTTTAAGATCGTATTGTTAAATCTTTCACAAAAATTTTTATGATTGTCAAATGTCATGAAAAATTTTCAGGAGTAAACATGACGGATCAGACAATCACTCACTTATCATAACAGTAATTGTAGTACTAAACTTTTGCTTTTCTGTCGGTTGAGATAAAAGAAAGAATCTTAATAAACTACTAAGAAGTCTTAATAATTCTAGTATTAAAGAAGCCTACTGGTTATATGCATCAGATATAATGTTATAACAAAAATTTCATCTATTTACTGATAGTAAAACTACTGTATGCCTGCCTGATGCATGTTTTTGAATAAGACGAGAAGAAATAAAATAGCCATCAAAAGGAGAAACCTATGATGACATCTTGAAGGTTGTTGTTCGCCAATGAACAATAACACACCTTTTTATAATCAGATTATTGATTTAGACTACAAAGATAAAATACAAAGAAAGAAATAATAAAGACGAAACACGCATGTATCGTTTGATTTATAACGTAGTTATTTATGTACAAAGAAAAAAAGAAACTTTTTATTGCGTATAACCGATAATAATGTATCATGTTGAATTTTTTGATTAATTGACCCCCCGTAATAGATGGTGCACAACTATTTATCATACATTGGTTAATTCCACTCTATTGAATATCTATTCTGCTTGAGACTATATAAATTACAGTGATACTTGTATATATGATCATAGATATGTAAAAGGAACGCAATGACTAGAAAAAGGAGAACAAAACTATCATCATCATCAATTGTTGTCGTTCATGCAAGAAGAATCCAACAACAACAACAATTTTTAATCAATCATATTGATAAAAATTTGAGTAGAAATAATGTGGTGTAATACAAGTCTATTGGTCAAAAAAGGTATGATTTATAAATGACTGAACTAGTGAAAACTCTGAACTAGTTAAAAATGCTAATTTTATTCAAAAGATTTGCTTGAATATTAGCAGTTGTCTGTCAGTTGATTATAATTCATCTATTCACTTTAGGATGTTTTATATGTTCAGTAATTATTTAAGTGTTTATTTATTTGCTCAATTTCTGTTATTATCATCAATTTTTCATCTTATAAGGACTGATCAATGTTCGATATTTCGTGATCTAAGCTGTTCTTGTTACTCGGATATTGATTCCGAGCCGATGGCTTCATCTTATCAACATGTTTATAACGATCCAGCAATTGAATATTTATCGCCTCCTACATTAGATAAAAAGAATTATAATCCTTATACATATTCACATTTACATTGTAAAGAATCATCACTACCACCGATACTACGATTTGGACCAGATATCAATAAATATAATCGTTTTCGTACAATTAGTCTTGTATTTACTAGTGATTATTTGATTGTGCCATCGAATTATTTTCAAAATTTATCTAAATTATTTATCAATACATACGTGGAACGTATTATTGATATTAAACTAAGATTTACTAATTTTAAACGATTAACGTTTAAAGAATACTCACTAGCAGACTTGTACGATAAGAAACATTTGACAAAAAATTTGTGGCTAGACATTATACCACAACGAACAAATATGACGGTTAGTTATTTTAGATATTTTCCAGGATATACGTTTATAAGTTAATGGGCTGATGGAAATAGAGTCTTGCGTAGTTTGTGGTCTTGATCGGATCCATGTTTGAACCACTGGAATCGGAGATGAAAATTTCTTACGGTTTAACTTCACACCGAGTTTATCGCAAACAGAGAGACGTTCGTTTACTACAAAAAAAAAGAAAATCTCTGTTGAAGCCTATCTGATCTGTTGTCAATTGTTATAACGAAAAGAGAAACAGAAACAGAAAGACTTATTTTCTTATTCATTAGTAAGGTTAGTATTACTTGAGCGTTGCAGAGAGTACTAAATAAACTCAAGCAAATAATCACCTATGAGAAAAATCCAGATGCATTTCGTCGATAAACGACTATTGTCTATTAAAAAAATAAGAGGTATGGCTATTTTCTGAGTATCTCGAGAACGAAATGTGGTAGAGAGCCTTAGTTTTCACTATCCAAGAAGAGACTTTTGAGGACATTTTTATAACATATTAATTCGAAATAGTTTTTTAAAGAAGATTTTTGAGGAGATCTTTGGAAAACCAACTCATAACTCAAAAACTTATGAATACTTTCAGTTTTATTCATAAACAGACCCAAAGTGTCCTCTTCAAAATGGGAGTCATGAAAGACCTAAATTTTCATTGGTTCGGGCGTGGTATCCAATTTCCTTGGAGTCGTTGGACTGGTATCCAGTGACGTCAAGTAGTCTTGAAATCGAATGGAACATACATAATTCTTCACGCTGAATTTGATGGCAATGTTTATTTTGAGAAAGAATTTAAAAAAGGGGGTGAAAACTGAGTTCTGTCAAAATTAGTGGTTCCAGGTCATCTTCACTTAATATTAAAACATTTACTGCGCACTCAAAAAACATCAGAGCAAGTTCAAAACCGCAACTACCATTATCGGATGATAAATGGATAGTTGCAACTGAGGAGAAATCTAGTCGTTACTAAATAGTTGCAATCGAGTAAAAATCTAGTAATCTCGATAAATCAGATGACACTAGATTTTTTTTTAATGTTTGGGAGAGCTGAAGAAAACATTTTTCAGACGGTTTCGAAGTTAGCTTTAGAAAAAGCTAATCATAGCATTCTAAATAAAAGATGAACTTTAATTATTTCAAATTCATTCCTCTAGTCACCAAATTATTATTCTTTTTCTTCATAGACTCTGAACAGTGAAGAACAAGAGAATTCAACAGAGACAATCGTTCAAACTTCTAGTCCATTTGAATTTGATTCAAATTGTTGGAGTGGTTTGTCGCTATCATTATTTACTTTGTACATTCAAACGCCCACTGATCGTTTATCAAGTAATTATCCATTCGAATATTTATTTAATAATACCAAAATAGATGAATTACACATTACTGGTAGTATCATTGTTCCATCGCCAAACATTAGTCAAACAACATTTAACGGTCTAATTCGTACACTAAAACTTCGTCGTCGTGTCGATGTAATCGATTCACATGAATTTCCATATTATTCACAAACAATTGGTGTAAAATCGTATACTATCGAAGCATTAGGTTCATCTCAGATGAATTTAACAGATTTTCAACATTATTCTAATTTACGTGGATTAATATTGATTCAACCAAATTTTCCTGTTCGTATCCATGTTTTTTTATCTGCATTAGACACATTAGTATTCGATGTTGAACGAATTTATTCTACATCTTTAATAGGAGCTAAAAATATTAATTATTTAAAATTAGGTAATCGTCTACGTACAATTGATCCGTTTTCATTTCGACCATTACATCGACTAAGTCGACTTGATTTATACGATGTTGATTTATCTCAATTGACATTAGATACTAGATGTATTCTAACAGAATTTATTCAAGATAATAAACAACATTTATTGATTATTTATCCATTTACACAAATAACGTCATATTGTGAATGTACACAATTATTTTTCGATATTACAAGATCAAAAAAATTATTAAGTGATGAGAATATAGTATGTGCAAAACGTTGTCGATTCTCTAATTGTCTGATAATAAATCAATTTTTTCGAATAATGATACCATTAGAGATAGTTAAAGATAAAGAAAGGAATATGAAAAAGAATGATGATAACGATATTTTAATTGTCGATCATGATCATAGACCGGATGATATTGATTTTTTGGAACCGGTTGATATCGTCACAGAAATTCTAAATACAATGCAAGAAAATTTAACATTACCAGTAGACAAGGGAACGAATAGCCTAAAGTCTATTGAGCAACATATCAATCTAGTCAATTCAACGTAAGTATGAATTCGATAAACGACATGGCCGGATAACTCTACAATTAGAGTGAAATTCCGTAACGAAATCTTAACATTTTGCTGTACTTATGTTTTTTTTTAAAGAAAGCATGTGCTGTCGAACATCTAGGATTGTAATTCAAACGTTTCTCTACCAAATGAGACGTCTCGGAGCTCTATACGTTTTTTTGTTTAAAAAAGAAAGGAAATACAAAACGCCCTTCTCACGCTTCATTTCGGGAAAGTAACATGTAGTATTTACCATTGATTATTTAAACAAAGAAACGTATATAGCTCCGGGACGCCTCATTTTGTAGAGAAACGTTTGCTTTACAATCCCGGCACTGTACACGCTTTCTTTAAAAAAACATAAACATAGCAAAATGTCAAGATTTCATCACGGAATTTCATATCTGGCCGTGGCGTAAAATAGATTTAAAAACTTCATATTTATTTTACATTTTTTAGATTATCAACGTTAGTCGCTGATTTAGATGTGGTGGAATCATTCGCAAATGAAGATGAATATTATGATCTTGCTCAAATTACACCCACTCCAAAAGTGATAGAATCCACCACGAAATCATCTCTTATTGATCAATACTCTACTCAGAGAGGTACATCTCATTTTCCGTTAAAATCGTCTGTTACTGTTACCCATAAAAGTCGTTTATATCTGAATATCAATGAAGATTCATTAACTATTTCTACGACAATCCTGCCACTTCCGCATTTCTTATCATCTGAACAATCGCCGCTGTCACACTCTTCGTCCATTCAAATTCCTGTTTACTATATTCCAATTGCCTTTATCGCCGGTGCATTAATTATTGGTTTAGTTGCGATATTAGTGACAATTCTTGTGATGAGAAAACGCAGTCGTTACGGATTTGACCCTGTACCTGCTCAGGCTACGCATGTTTAGTTGATTTTTCTATTCTATCTTGTCTTTGTATCTTTGCTTATCTTCTTGTTACTGAGCAATCAGTTATAGTTTATTGAAAATAATAATTAACTAATTTTTACAAGATAAAGACATGAATCCTAATCAGAGTGGATAATTACACTTGATTAGAAATTTTGGATAACTGATACTTCATTTGTACGTGAACTAAGTACTGATTAAAGACGCTTTTACCATGTCAAAAGCAAAGGAAGTCGGATATTAAATAGACGGCCTGGCCAGCTAACTCTACCTGCGTACGTAATTCCGTGACGTTTTTCTATGATTTTGTTTTATTTGCAGAAATTTTTGAAAAAGTCAGAACTCAAAAGTAAATAAACCATTTTGTAGACAAT